GAACAGAGAACCCAGAAATCAACACAAGCCATTACGTTCAAGTAATATTTGACAAAGGAGGCAAGAGGATACAATGGCATCAAGACAGTCTCTTCAATAAATGTGTTGGGAAAATTGGACAGATACGTGCAAAAAAATGAAACTAGACCACCAACTTACACCATACATAAGAATAAACTGAAAATGCATAAAATACTTAAATGTAAGTCGTGAAACCATTAGAATTCTAGAAGAAACTATTGGAGGCAAAATCTCAGCCATGTCTCATAAAAACATTCAGGGATAAAAAGAAATGTGCTATAAAGCCATGAAGAAACAAGGTGTTAATTTAAACTCATATTGATAAGTGAAAGAAGCCAGTCTGTTCATTTATTTTATGAATTAGAATATAGTTTATCTTGAATATATCAAGATATCAAGGTTATCTAGAATATTTCATGTACAATTGCAAGCAATATACATTTTGCTGTTGGGTATAGTGTTCTGCAAATGTCAGTTATGACAAGTTGATTCTAATGTTGTTTAGATCTATTAACTTTCTACCTGATTGTTCCATTAAATCGTAAGAGTAAAGTATTGAAATTTCCAAATATAACCATGGAATTGTCTGTGTCTTCTTACATTTCTGTCAGTTTTTGCTTCAGGTATTGTAGGAATTGTTAGGTCTTGTAGGCAAATTGCCCTCTTTATTATTATGTAATGTTCTTCTTTATCCTTCTTCTGAAGTCTACTTTTTTATATTAATGTAGCCATCCCAACTTTCTTTTGATTAGTGTTTGTATTATATACTTTATCTGTCTTTTTATTTATAGTTATTTTCTGGTATAAAGAATATAGTTGGATCTCAAGGAAGATTTGAATACCATTTAATTTTATATTTTACACGACTATACAAGCTTTCTATTCTTTTTTTTCTTGAGTCAGCTATGTTAAGTTATATTTTTTCTTAGAATTTGTCTCTTTCCTCTAAATTTTCAATCCTATAGGCATGAATTCTTCATACCGGTTCTCTAATCTTTTTAATCTTTATATTCTCTTTTTGTTCCCCTTTTCTTTAATATTATTTCTATGTATCTTTTTTTTTTATGTTGAAGCATCTGCCAAATGTTTGTCCATTTTGGTACTTTTGTAAGACGAATAAATGTGGGGTTTGTTGATTTTTATTGTATCTTTGTTGTCTATTTCATGAATTGATACCTTTACCTCTAATACCTCCTTCCTTCTACTTTTGTTTTCCCCCCTACTGCCCCTATTTATTCTTAGCTTGGATACTTAGCTTATTAAAGCTGTAAAGTTTTCTCAAGGCATGCTTTTCCATGTCTCACAGGTTTTTATATGTAATATTTTCTTTATTATTAAATTTTAAGTATTTTAAGATGTACCTCATGATTTCTTCTTTGATTCATATTTGGAAATGTGCTTGTTTTTTGTTTTTTTATAGAAATGTGTTTTCAAAGGAAAAAAACTTTGAATTATGAAGTATAGGTAGATGTTTTATATGCCTTCTTTATTAATATATAACTTAACTTCAGTGAGGTAAGACAGCATGAATTCTCTGATACCAATTCTTTAAATTTGTAAATAATTTTATATGGTCTAAAGCAGAATCGATTTTGTTACTAACTGTTCCAAATGAACTTCAAACGAGTTATGTTTTCTGTATTTCTTCAAAGCAGAAGTGTGTATGTCTCCATGTACATTTGGCAAAGCTTGTAAGTTGTGTTGTTTAAAACTTCTGTATGCTATTGATTTGTATATTACTTCTCAATCATTAAAAAGACCTGTTGAATTCTTTCACTCCCTTGGTGGTTTTTTTTTTTTTTTTTTTTTTTTCAGTTTCTCTGTGGACATAATAGCAATTGATGCTTTTGTATATTTTGAGACTATTTTTAAGTGTATGTGTAATATTTTATAACATTTTCATGGAGGTGACATCCCATCATGTTTGCCGTACCTTATTGATTAGAAGCAAGATATATATTCTACCCACATTTAAGGGGAGATTACACAGTGTGTGGACCATGAATGATCTTTCTTTCAGATCTACCCTTAGAGTCTTATTTCCACAATAAACATTAGTTATTATTAAACACCTCCTAGATAATATAAGTGGCTTAGATCACTTTAACTGCCTATATACTCATCCCAACTTATATTGTCATGTATTTGACAAAGTAGACTTCATCAAATTTAAAATTTCTGGGCTGAAAAAGGCACTGTTGATACCAAAAAAAAGCTACCAGTTGGTAGGATCATTTCCAAATAATATATCTGATAACATCAAGAATATTTCTAGCCTGGCCATCATGGCTTAGTGGTTCAGTGTCAACCTATGAACCAGGAGGTCATGGTTCGATTTCCGGTCAGGGAAAATGCCCAGGTAGCAGGCTTGATCCCCAGTGTGGGGCATGCAGGAAGCAGCCGAACAGTGATTCTCTCCAATCACTGATGTTTCTATCTCTCTCCCTTTCCCTTCCTCTAGACCCTGACCAGGTCGTTCAGTTGGTTAGAACATTACCCTGTTATGCCAAGATTGCAGGTTTGATTCCTAGCCAGAGCACATAGAAGAATCTACCAATGAATGCACAAATGTGTCTAACAACAAATCTCTCTTTCTTTCTGAAATCAAAAAAGATTTTTTAAAGAATATTTCTAGGAAAAACCAAGATGACGGCATAGGTAAACACCGGAGTTTGCTGCCTCAACAACCACTTCAAAAATACAACTAAAAGGCGGAACGGACATGATCCAGAACCTCAGGAAGGCTGGATGAGTGGAAATTCTACAACTAGGAGGAAAGAAAAGCATACCGAGACTCAGAGGAGGCGAAGTACGGAAGGAAAATACTAAGGTGCGGAGGTGCATGCAGAGTGGGCTGGCGGCTGAGGGCGCGGTTGTTGTTTTCATTCAGGAGGGAGTCTCAGGCTCTAGGTCCAGTTCTGGGCGAGTCTCTAGGGACCCAGACTCATACAGGAGAAGCGGGACTGTCTGGCATCGGTCGGAACTTGAGGGTAGCTTTCTCTCCGAGGGGCTTATAGCGATTACTGGGACATTGAGAAGCAGAGCTTCTGAGGGCAGGACTGAGAGCAGCCATAACTGCTAGCCCTGCCCTGTTGATCCCGTGGGACCCACCCCACCCAAGCCCTGCAGGGAGGCTTTTGCTGGATAGCCTCAAGCAAAGGCTAGATTAGCACCTCCCTAGAGATCCAGGAGCCAGGAAACCCAGAGGTCCGAGTGGTACCATCCAGTTTGCAACTCTGTGGAACCATAAAGGACACACTCAGGGGGCAGACTCAGTGAGCACCAAAGCCCCATTGAAGCAAATCTTGCCCCGGAGGGGTGTCTCCAGCACGGAGGTTCTCCTGCTGCAGACACAGCTGATTCTCACAGCCAATTGGCCTGGAGGTCAATCCTCCTACAACAATCAAGGCATAACTACAACAAGACTGCACAAAGACCACAAGGGGGTGCACCAAGAGTGTCCTCCTCAGGTAATTGGGGAGGCTGAACCACTGGGCCCTAGAGGACACTCAGCACAGAAAACCACTTTATCAACACAGGGAAGCTTAATAAATGCGGAAACAACGAAACAGGACACAAATGACAGAAATGGAGGAAAGCAAACTACTGGATATAGAGTTCAAAACCACACTTTTAAGGTTTTTCAAGAATTTTCTAGAAACCTGCCGATAAATTTAATGAGATCTACAAGAAATCTAATGATACCCTCGAGGTTGTGATAAAGGACCAACTAGAACTTAAGCATACACTGACTGAAATAAAGAATATTATACAGACTCCAAACATCAGACTAGAGGATTGCAAGAATCAAGTCAACGATTTGAAGTACAAAGAAGCAAAAAACACCCAACCAGAAAAGCAAAATGAAAAAAGAATCCAAAAATATGAAGATAGTGTAAGGAGCCTCTAGGACAGCTTCAAGCATACCAACATCCGAATTATAGGGGTGCCAGAAGAAGAGAGAGAGCAAGATATTGAAAACCTATTTGAAGAAATAATGACAGAAAACTTCCCCTACCTGGTGAAAGAAATAGACTTACAAGTCCAGGAAGCACAGAGAACCCCAAACAAAAGGAATCCAAAGAGGACCATACCAAGACAAATCATAATTAAAATACCAAGAGCAAAAGACAAAGAGATAATCTTAAAAGCAGCAAGAGAAAGAAAGTCAGTTACATACAAGGGCGTACCCATACGAATGTCAGCTGATTTCTCAACAGAAACTTTGCAGGCCAGAAGGGAGTGGCAAGAAATATTCAAAGTGATGAATGCCAAGAACCTACAACCAAGATTACTTTACCCAGCAAAGCTATCATTCAGAATTGAAGGTCAGGTAAAGAGCTTCACACATAAGGAAAAGCTAAAGGAGTTCATCACCACCAAACCAGGATTATATGAAATGCTGAAAGGTATCCTTTAAGAAGAGGAAGAAGCCAAAACTGGTTTGGCTCAGTGGATAGAGCATCGGCCTGCGGACTGAGGGGTACCAGGTTCGGTTCCGGTCAAGGGCATGTACCTGGGTTGCGGGCACATCCCCAGTGGGAGATGTGCAGGAGGCGGCTGATCGATGTTTCTCTCCCATCGTTGTTTCTTGCTCTCTATCTCTCTCCCTTCCTCTCTGTAAAAAATCAATAAAATATATTTTTTTAAAAAAAAAGAGGAAGAAGAAGAAAAAGGTAAAGATACAAATTATGAACAACAAATACACATCTATCAACAAGTGAATCTGAAAATCAAGTGAATAATCTGATGAACAGAATGAACTGGTGATTATAATAGAATCAGGGGCATAGAAAGGGAGTGGACTGACTATTCTTGGGGGGGAAAGGGGTGAGGGGGATGCAGGAAGAGACTGGACAAAAATCGTGCACCTATGGATGAGGACAGTTGGTGGGGAGTGAGGGAGGAGGGTGGGGTGGGAACCGGGTGGAGGGGAGTTATGGGGGGGGGGGGGAGGAACAAATGTAATAATCTGAACAATAAAAATTTAATTAATAAACAAAAAGTATTTCTAAACACTCAACATTAAGGAAAGCCAGCAACCAAAAGATTTTAATAGATAATTCACTAAAGAAGATGTTCACATGGTACAATAGAATGTGAAAAGGTGCTTAAACTTATGTGCCATTAGGGAATTGCAAATTAGGACCACTATGAGATTTTACTATACATCTAGTAGAATGGCTAGTAAAAGTCTAAAATACCGATATGAATATCAAATACCGGTTAAAATGTGGAGCAACTGGAACTCATATGTGTGGTGGGAATGCAAAATTATACAGAAGCTTTGGAAAAGTATGATACTTGTTTCTTCTCCAAAGCATTTGCCCTATAGAAATGAACATTTATGTTCACATAAAACCAGTACCTGAAAGTTTATAGAACGAATTTTATTCAGAATCACCAAAAGTGGGAAGTTTTTACATATCCATCAATTAGCAAATGGATAAAAACCAGTGGTACATCCATACAATGAAGTACATTGATATATACGGATGAACTGTTGATTGATATAACCACATAGAGAGCCTAAATGCATTTTGCTAAGTGAAGGAAGCCAGACCAAAAAGTCTACATATTGCATGATTCCATTCATATGACCGCTGGAAATGGCAAAACCATATGAATGGAGAACAAATAAGTGGTTTCCATGGCTTGGAAATCGGATTTACAATAAAAAGAGCATTTCAGAGAAATCAGTGATAAAACTGTTCTGTATGGTTTTAGAGTGGAAGAATACATGACTTTATACTTGTCAAAACCCATGACCTATATACCATAAAGTCAATTTTCTGTATGTAACTTAGAAATAAAAGTCTCTCTGCCCTGGCCAGTTTTCTCAGTGGTTATAGTGTCAGCCCGCAGACCAAAGGGTCTTGGGTTTGATTCTGGTCAAGGGCACATACTTTGGTTGCAGGGTCAATCCTCAGCCCAGTCGGTGCACATTCGGAAGGCAACCAATTGATTTTTCTCGATCACATCAATGTTTCTCTCTCTCCTGCCCCCTTCCACACTGAAAATCAATAGGGAAAAATATCCTTGGGGAAGGATTAAGAAGAAAAAATAAAAATAAAAACCTCTAAAACCGCCTATTAAGTGAGCAGAGATTTATAAAAACAAGAAGCTTTGCTTTAATGTGTAGAGAACTATGCACAATTATATATCATTGATGGGAAATAATTTGTACAACAATATTGAGAACAATTCATTAATACCTTTCAAGTGCCTCTCATCATTCAAACTCGGTAATTCCAATTCTAATTTATTCAAAATAAATAGAGATGCATGTAAAGATTAATATACTATGGTCTTCATTACATTTTTAAAATTAAATCTTTATTGCTGAAAGTATTACATATTGATACTGGAACCAGTGAGCAGGAATTCTTTCCAGGGTCGTGTCTCACAAAATTAAAGAATGAAGCCATTGGACCAGCCGGAGGAGTTCAACAAGGCAGGAGTTTATTGCAAACAAACCCAGGCTCCCTGCTCAGGTAGGGGATTCAAATGGTTGACCCCGAAGTATTCTGCTCTTCCCCTTATATCTGCTTAGGGCCCGTTCTTTGTCTATCTGTGCCGCTCTCTGATAGGTTCCTGGCCTTTTTGCAACATTTTATTTTGCACTTGCAAGAAAAACATCCTTGTTTCAAAACACCCTTTTTTTCCTGCTATCCATCTTGTTTTTCTGCAAAACATTTTATGGTTTCACCTAGCTCCATGATTCCTCCTTCTTTCGTCCCTTACCCTGTCTACCTAATTCTGCTTTAACTCCTTTCAATATGTCCCCTTATTTTTCCACATTGACCCCTTCTAACCCGCCTACCATAGGCCTCCACCACCCTATTATCTGTGTCCATGGTTATGCATATATGCATACAAGTTCCTTGGTTGATCTCTTCCCACCCACCCCTGCCTTCCCTCTGAGATTCCACAGTCTGTTCCATGCTTCCATGTTTCTTGATCTGTTTTGTTCATAAATTTATTTTGTTCATTAGATTCCACATATGAGTGAGACTAACCTACCCCAGGATGTTGTGGAATACAGCACATTCATCTGTCACCCAGCCGCCATCCTGGTTCCAAGGCTGCATCTCTCCACTGGACTGATGGCAAGGTTGTCAGTGTTTTGCTCCTGGGCCTACTTCCAGCTGTGTGTTTGAATCCTTCTTCTGCGATGGACTACTCCCTGGCTGCGGTCCTCTCTCTATATAGTCACTGGGGCCTTGGACAAGTTGTTACTATGTTCAAAAGGATGCATTGCAGAAATCTGCCAAGGCAGGCCTCTTGGCACTCTCGGTTTTCACCTTTGCTGGGCTTTGTTATTTCAACCATCACAATGTGGACATCTGCAAAGCTGTTGCCATGCTGTGGAACCTCTGACCTTGACTTACTACCTTGAAAATTGATTGTACACCTCTTTGCCTCTGCTTTGTCATGCCATTCATCTCACAATAAGGAGGAAATAACAGATAAGTCCACTGGTGAGATAAATCTCTTCTAATCATCTGGCTAGTTTTAGAATTTAATCTGTAAAGAAAAGGTTTGAGAGGAATTGTATCCAAGAAATTGTGAGACAGAGTCCTACATTCCGGCGATTGAATGAGGTTGTCCTCCAGCTTCTCAAGACTCACAATATAACAACATTATATATGAGCTTTCGCATTATAATTTACCGAACTCTTAAAGGGAATTCTGCTTTATTACTATCAATACCTAATCAAACTGCTATATTTGTCCTAGGAGTTAAGGAGAACGGAAGAACTATTAATTCATAAGTAAAGACTGCAGAAACTTATGCATCACTTAATGTTTGAAAACTTTCCCCCTTTATTTAGTTGATACCAGTCACTGATGGTTATATGTCTTTGGGAAACTTAAAGTTAGGAAATGCTCATATTTCACATTACTAATTTCTAAAGCCTGGATAAAAGAGCCTGAAGAACTTCTGAATATAGAGAAGTTCCATGCAGGGAAGAGGTACCCTTGTAGAGGTATCAAAATATTACATGTTCTAAACTGAGACTTAACTCCTCAAATACGTTCATTTTACTTGTCCCAAAATAATATCCACAAATATAAAGCTTTAAATAACAAATTGTTATTTTTCTCCCTGTGAGAATCTTTAATGTGAAATGTATTCTGTGAAAATAAAGTTTTTTTAAAAAATATAAAATAATAAAAATGGAAAATGTCACTAGGACTCCTAATATGGGATTGCTTTTAACCCATATGATTTCTATACTTTTATATCAGATGTCCTGAGACAAGTCTTAATCTTCATAACCAATTCAGAAGGGAGCACTGGGTTTGGGCAAGCCCTCCTACTGGTATTTCATAATCAGTTGAGACATTAGGAGTAAATCTTGGGACTGGGATCCATAGGGTTGTTGGCCTTCGCTACAGCTTCAGTGGCTTCCATGAGTTCAGGTGGTAGTGTATCTCAGGCTGATTAACTATGCAGGTAACTATGACAAATTCAACCTCAACCTTAGCATTCATGCCTCTCTGGGTCTTAAGATATTTGAGGAAGGAAGTGCAAATTAAAGAGTGACTTCCAATGGCATATACACGGGGCAGAATAGTGCCAGTGGAATGAGAACGTCATGGTTTTTGTTTACTTTTTATCAATAATATCTTAGTCATGGGGCTGAGGGAAAAAGAATATGAGTGCAGGGATAGAGGTTACATTTAAATCAACTTTGTTCCTTCCTTGAAGGTCCTTCGTTGCTGAAACCCAAACATCGCTAGTAGCCTATATTCCAGCATTGGGACATAGCAATTTTTTGTTGTTAATCCTCACCCGAGGATATTTTTCAGTTGATTGTTAGAGAGAGTGGAAGGAAGGGGGAGATACACAGAGCTGGGCCAGGGATCGAGCCTGCAATCAAGGTATGTGCCCTTGGCCAGAATTGAACCCAGAACCCTTCAGTCCAAGGGCTGATGCTCTATCCATTGAGCCAAACTAACTAGGGCAGGACCCAGTAATTTTTAACTATTGGAGGTCAAACAGGGCAAGTATGCTATCTTTTAGCAATTACTCTTTTAAAAAATATGTTTTTATTGATTTCAGACAGGAAGAGGAGGAGAGGAACATCAATGAGTTGAGAGAATCATCGATCTGCTGCCTCCTGCACACCTCTGATGGGATTGAGCCTGCAATCTGGGCAGGTGCCCTGGCCAGGGCTAGGCATTACTTTTTTTCTGTGAATGTGGGGTGCTCATTATCGGAAGTAACAGTTCATATACACACTGTATGTACAGGAAAGGGAAAGAAGCCAAGAGTGCTAAGCATGCTATTGAAAAGAGCAACATGTGAGGTTGAATCGGCCCCGGCGAGGCTGAAACGGCCCTGGTGAGACTGAGACGGCCCTGGTGAGGTCGAGATAGCCCCTGTGAGGTCTAGATGGCCCCGGGGAGGTTGAAACAGCCCCGGTGAGGCTGAAACGGCCCCGGCGAGGCTGAGACGGCCCCAGTGAGGTTGAATCAGCCCCAGTGAGGTTGCGACGGCTCCGGTGAGGTTGAGACGGCTCCGGTGAGGTTGAGACGGCCCCAGTGAGGTCGGGACGGCCCGGTGAGGTTGAATCGACCCCGGTGAGGTTGAATCGGCCCCGGTGAGGTTGAGACAGCCCCGGTGAGGTTGAGATGGCTCCTGTGAGGCTGAGACAGCTCTTGTGAGGCTGAAACAGCCCTGGTGAGGCTGAATCGGCCCAGGTGAAGCTAAGACGGCCCTGATGAGGTTGAGACGGCCCCAGTGTGGTTGCGACGGCACTTGTGAGGCTGGGATGGCCCTTGTGAGGCTGAGATGGCCCCTGTGAGACTGAGACGACCCCTGGGAAGCTGAGAAAAATACCACATGAACTCACTCATTTATGGATAATAAGGACCATTATAGACCAATGAACAAAAATGGATACAGAGGCAGAGCAGCATTGAGCAGACTGTCAAACTACTGTGGGAAGCCTGGGGAGGGTTGGGGGGTAGGAGATCAACTGAAGGACTTGTATGCGTGCATATGAGGATAACCAATGGACACAAGACACTGGGGGGTGGGAGAGGCCGGGGAATGTCAAGGGGGGGGGGGGAGGAGACATGTGTAATACTCTTTGTAATACTTTAAGAAATAAAAAAAGAAAACAGCAACGTGTGGGCTGAGTCTCAGGTGAGGGATCCCTCTGTTATTGAAATGTGCTTTGTGAAGCTGAGATGAAGAGAGGCTCTAGTTATTCTCTGATTCTTTTCTTTGTTGTTGTTGTTTCCTCTCAAATGAAGTCTTCCAACAGCTCTTCCTAAGGAATAAAGCAGCCCCCACAGGAGGGGATGGGCTGTCCACTCTAACAGAGGAGCTCTAAAACTTTATTGGAATATTGGCTCATTTGAAGACTATAACAGAAGAAAAATGACTGCATGTGATGTCAGAGGGTTCACAGATACTCTCTTCTAAACTTTACCTTCCATGTCCTAAAGGCCATCAATTTCCAGCCCTCCTTCCCAACAGCACTGGAAGGATCTACAATATGGCTACTAAACTGGATGTACCCTGACCAATGACTTTTGCAAAGTGGCTCTTATTCACCCATTGATGTGTGTTTTATTTTTTTTTAATTTGTTTTGTTTTGTCTATCTTAAAACCTCAATTAGATAATGGGACTGTGTCATCTAATAACTCAATATGTGTTTTTAAAGCACTGTGCTTGGATTTTACCTCAACTTAGTTGCACAGAAGCCAAAGTACATTATGGAACACAGCCAACAAAAGCTTGTACCATGTAATGAAGTAAGGTGAAGGTCAAGGAAAATCGTCAGTCTTAAAGAAGTCCATTTATGCCACTTCAAGCTGACCACTCTGCTGCTCTTTCAAAGAATTAGGAAATCGAGGAGAACCAAGATGGCACCATAAGGTATAGACCTGTATGTGCTGCCTCCCACAACAACATTGAAACTACCAACTATAAGACAAAATAGCTATCATCCAGAACCATGGGAAAGCTGGCCCAGTGGAAGTTCTACAACTGGAAGGAAGGAAAGAAAGAAGTACACCGAGACTGAATAGGAGGTGCAGAGGCACCAAGAACAGAGGTTCGGAGGCACGCGCCAGGCAGGCTTTATGTAAATATCCCATTAATTCCTTACTTTCCCCACATGCCTTCACCAAAATCTTTTCAAAAAGTTATTATTACCCCCATTTCACAGTGGAAGAAACCAAGTCCCAGAGAGGTGAAAAATCATGCTCAAACCACATTGGTTAAGTGTCAGAGCAGATTTGAGCCCAATCTATCTAGTTCCCAGGCCCAAATTCTCACTGTACTGCTTTGTGGTCCTGTTCTGGAATTTCTTTCCCAACCTTCCTCCTATTGTCTTCCAGGATGGGTAGTTACACATGGTCCACTGAAAATGCATAAAGCTTCTTAAATAAATTCTCCCATTGAAAGTCATTCTTTGAATCCCCAGGGTCACCACTCTGAACATTAAGTGGAAAATTTCCCCAAGAATATTGTGTTTATATACCTTTGAGAAAAGAGAAGATAACACAATATGTTTATATTTTTAATTATTTACTATATGCTTTACTTTGAGGTGTAGCCATAAACAGTTTTAAATCCCTAAGTAAAATAAAGAATTGGTGTACTTCTGTTTAAAAATATATATACTTTGAGTCAGTGGGGGAGAAAGTGGGACATATGTAATACCATACTTTTAATAATAAAGATACACACACACACTGAGTGGCCAGATTATTATGACCACCTGACATTTGTAGACAAATTAACTATAATTTCCCACTGAAGTTGCTAGAGGGCCAGATCATTATAAACGTCTGAATCGCACAACATACCTAAGTATCGTTGCTGATCAAGTTCATCCTATCATGTTGATGGCATATCCCAATGGAGATGTCTTCTTCCAACAAGACAATGCACCATGCCACAATGCTCATATTGTGCAGGAGTGGTTTCAAGAACATGAGGGAGACTTTACCTTGCTTAGGTGACCCCACAATTACCAGATCTCAATCCAATTGAGCATTTGTGGGACAAAGTTAAAAGAGCCATCAGAACTGGACAGTGCTATTCATCATGGTGTCAGATTCCTTGCATCACCTTTTAACATCTCGTGGAGTCAATACCAAGTATCGCCACAGTATTGAAGGCAAAAGTGGTGCAACGAAGTACTGATGGGGTGGTCATAATAATATGGCCACTCAGTGTGTGTGTGTGTGTGTGTGTGTGTGTGTGTGTGTGTGTGTGTGTACATGTACATATACATATACACATATACATGTATATGTATGTATATATGTGTACACACACACTTTGGCCCTAGCCAGTTTGGCTCAGTGATTAGAGCATCAGCCTGTGGCCTGAAGGGTCCTGGGTTAGATTCTGGTCAAGGCACATACCTCCGTTGCAGGCTCCTTCCCAGCCCAGGCCCTGGGTGAGGTGCATGCAGGAGGCAACTAATCGATGTGTTTCTCTCACATCGATTTGTCTCCCTGTCTTTCCCTCTCTCTTCCTCCCTCTAAAAATAAATGGAAAAATACCATCAGGTGAGGATTAAATACACACACACACACACACACACACACACACACACACACACACACACACATATACATACTTGCTACTTTGGTTGAAAGTGCAGTGAGAATAGTCCTGCTACTGATGAAAAGGTCCAGAATTGATCATACTATAAGAGATCTGGAGCTATTCAGGTGTCTTCCTGAGCATCAACATTTCATATATGGCTGTCCCCCAAAAGAAACTTACATTATTTGTGCAGCCAAGCCCTGGTCTAGAAGGAAACAATAGCACTCATCTAAAGAACATGAGAAGATCTTTCATCAAGGCCAGAGGAATACACATTTGCCAAAGTCCAAAAGCCATGATTTTCCCCTTTCACCACCATAATTTTCCCATAAGTTTTTATAACCTCTTGTTTAAGATGTTGTCCCTTCTCCATTCCCACATCCTTAGATCATGTATCATTTTAACTACTACTGTAACCCTCTAACTGATCCCCCTGTCCAGATTTGAAAATCTTCCAGAATATACTCCATACTACTGCCAGAGTGACTATCAAGAGCATTCCCTTCTTAAAGTGCTCAAGAAA